GCTACGTGGAGCAGGAGAGACACACAGCAGCACTCAGTGAATTTAACCAGCAGCTACTTCCATGTTTAAGTAAAAGTTAGGAGACGGGTTGGTTAAAAAAAATTAGAAATCATACAGAGCTTTTTATATTATATTCATATTAGTAAAGAGGTTCATAAATCTTTTTAAACAGAGCAGAGAAAAGCAGGGAGATTAAAGATAAAACAGATTTACTGGGAAATGCAACATGCAATAAAATACCTCACCAGGTTTACCATAAAGTTTGCAAGAAAAAAATATTCTATGCTCCATTTAAAATGCAGCATATCCATATTTTTCTGGATGGATCAATTTTGGCATCGGAATCGGCTGTTATTTGTTCTTTTTTTTATACATTGATTTTTTTTTGGCCCTATATTTTGGTATTGCATCAAAAGGCATCTCTCTAACATCTATAAATATAAATATCAGTGTCTTATGGTTCTCTTGTGTTCTCAACAAATAAGAAAGCATTCAATAAATATATGTTTGAGCTCATTTTTGGAAAATACAAAAACCTAATAAAAGCGTAGCTCCATCAGCCTCTACCCGAGTGTCCCCACCAACTTCCATCACAGTTACACCCTTGTACCTGCTCAAACAAGGAAGAATTCACTGATTTTAAGAATTTTATACGTTATCACCTTTTATTCATCTTTTTATTTGTAGCTTATGATTGCTGACAGTTTTAGGTGAAGTCATAGAGTACTTGCTCTGTTGGTGAAGTGCTTTTCCATTTGTCAGCCTCTTTGGTGGCAAACTGGGCAGCTGAATTGGACCGTGGCAAAGCGTCCTGTAAGTTCCTCCCTAAAGGGCCATCATGAGATTTGTGGAATCAATTAATCTTTTTTATGGAAGCTGAGTGGCCTTCAGTTTCCTCAATCCTCCCCTGTAAATTACACAAATGAGCCTCGATACGTCTTCCTTGCCCCTTTGTCCCAGAAGTGGCCCAAAGAGACATCTTGACATCCACAAGATTGATTTATTCTCCATGTGAAACCAAAGACACATCAAGGCCTTTATACTCCTGGAAATCCCTGCTGTATAGTCGGGGCCCTGAACTGCGAGGCGTCTTCTTGTCTGTTTGCCCGAAAAAAAGGAAGCAAATGCTTCCTGAAGTCCCTGCATTTATCATAATCAAGCTGACGCGCTTTTCATGAGTCAACAGAGTCCATTCTGGAGGCCTTCACCGTAGAAGATGTAACCTTAAACAACGTGTTCTGTTTCTTTCAGAAGGGCCATCATGAGATCCGCGAACTTCGTCAGTTCCACTTCACCAGCTGGCCGGATCATGGCGTCCCCTGTTACGCCACAGGACTGCTGGGGTTCATACGGCAGGTCAAGTTCCTCAATCCGCCGGACGCCGGACCCATAGCCGTGCACTGCAGGTAAGGCCAGATAACCACATTTTCTGCAGATTAACCCCGCTATGATTCTAGCAAAGGGATCACCAATTAAAAATCCGGAGGGTCCGAATAAAAAAAAAAAAGCAACCAGTAAAGGTCCGAAGACATTTTTAATTCTAATCCGTTACTTTAAACTAGTGTAGCGCCGATGCCGTTTTTTGGCCCCGATACCGATACTTGGCTATGCAGTATTGGCCGATACCATCTGTTTTAAATTGATGTGTGTGTATATATATGAAGAACTGCATAATACTTGGATGTAAAATAATTGCCATCATGGTTTTGCCAAGCTTCTGCCTACCTTTGTGAAGCAGGAAAAAGACGAATAAGACAAAGAGAATCCAGTAGAACTTTTTATTGCCTACCTGGAATGGGTGACAATAGTTGAATAAACTTTTGGCTCTCAAAATGGTATCGGTGCCCTATTTGTTGGTACTCACTGATATAGATATCACCATTTTAGTAATGGATCGGGGCCCCGCCTAATACTTGTATCGGTATCGGTGCAAAACTACTTTAAACTGAATTTAACACTAAAATAAAACTAGGTTTTTATGCATCCATTGACTTTTTAAATGAAAAAAATATATATATATTAAAAAAATAGAACATTTTCCCATTTTAAAATCTAAAGTGTTTTTTTAAGTAGAGAACAACAATCGTTTAGTTTGGTATAGAGAAAAGTAGCAGTAGCAGCAACCCAGACTGACAGCAGCTCATTGGATCATTTGTATCACGTGTAGCCTGGTCCCGACGCTCCGGATGGCTTTACTTTATTAACAGGAGAAGCGGGGCAAGTTAAGTTAGACACTGTCATCAGACAACATGCAGTAATTTATAAATGTTTTAAATCAGGTTGGGTCTTGATTAGCTGCAGTCCGGATCCAGACTGCGGTCCGCTAATCTGTGATCTCTGCCCTTTATAATATATATATTAATTTTGTTTTCTTTAATCAATTATTATTTATTATATATTTTTTTATATATACCTTTATTTTTACAGGCAAGTCATTAAGAACAAGTTCCTCTTTACAATGGCCACCTGACAGATGGAGTAACCACTTAGGAAAAGGGAAGTAGGGCTAAAATAAATACATTAGTAAAACATACATAAAATACTATTTAATTTAATTCAGTTCAGTTTATTTCTATAGTGCCAATTCACATCACACGTCATCTCAAGGCACTTTACAGATCAACCAGATCATCCAGTCAGATTTATTCAGTTTTCCATCTAATGAAAA